TTATTATTATTATTATTATTATTATTATTATTATTATTATTATTATTATTATTATTATTATTATTATTATTATTATATATCATTATTTTTCTTAAACAGAAAAATCTTTCGCATGCTGCAACAAAACCAGACAAAGTGAACATTTTATAAATGAGAGGCTGATTATGTGGCCATAAAATTGACCAGGGTGACTGATGACATTTTAAAAAGTAATAATGAGCTTATTCATAACTTATGGACTTGTAAATTTTAATGTTCCCTTATCATGCCAGAATGTGACAAGACGACATTAGCCAGGAAGCTTAAATTATATCTTGAGAGCCAAGGTTATACAATTATATCAATCTCGCTGGCTCGCTGGGATGAGAAGTATCCCAGTCTACTGGATGATAGAAAGGTCTTTGACCAATTTTGGTTAGATTACTCTGGTATCAAATGGAAAAACTGTAAATAATGCACAAGTCCGACGACTGTTATTATCGACGAAGCACAGATCCTTTATGCCGGCGCATCAACTTTCTGGGATGATTTAAGGGGCCTTATCGATTATCATAATAGCAATCTACGCGTGCTGCTCTTAAGCACGTACGAAGATAGTTACAGTCAAGACATCGATCGACTTTATTGATGCATTGGGGCTAGAAGACACGTTTGACAATACCGGAATTCAAAGAAGTTGAGGACAATTATCTCGAGTATGCTCTCAGTGAGTATGATTGACCTTTCTATTACTGTACTGGCGCCAAGATATCTTCGATTCGACCTTCGGACACACATCTGGTCAGACACACCCTGGAATTTTACGAGACGAATATATGCGCAAAGTTAGAGATAATGACATACTTTGTTCTTTGGTTTCATATGAGCACTTTTGTGACATACAAAAGTCACGCGTATTTAATTGGCTGGGCAGCAAATTTATGTGCCAACATTTTCGGAACGGCTCACAGTATAATGCTCGTAAGGAAGAAGCGAAAGATTTGCTAAAAAAGTTCAAAGAACATCTAGTTAAATCTAAATTATTACCACAAAAATACGAAATTAGCGGGACGACAAAAATTTGATAGATGATAATTACGTTGTAACCGGAGGTAAAGCTGATTATTGTAACATTGACGCTACTGCTCATTGCAGTTACGATTAAGCGCAAAACGTTCACGTTTCCCATTCCGATCAACAAGTAAGATCAGTCCGCGTAAAGCACATTTATTTGGTATCCAAGATGAAGCAGTACGCGAACAAATTAATTACGTTCTCGATGAAGACGAAATTATCGGCAAAGCCTGAGTATGGTATTCGATGGAATTAAGAATTGAATAAAGGCGAAAAGCATTTGAAGATTACTTGCGATAATGCGGGTGGTCAAATAAAAATAATGCTACCATTTGATTTTATCTGTATTTAATAATTTACGGTTATTATGAAAGTATCGTATCGAATTAAATTTCATCGCGATTCTTCTTTTTACTAAATCATACGAAAAACATCTAGACATGGACCATTATTGTTCACAAATCGAGAAATTTTAATTTTGCAAGCCTTGTGGACGTATGGACAGTTCACTTACATTATTGTTCAATAATTAACGGATTCTGCAAGACTAATATGCATACGGACAGTTCACTTACATTATTGTTCAATAATTAATGGGTTTTTGCATCTATTCGACGGTTGCTTGATGCTTTACGCTTATTGCTAGTCAAATGAGTTTTAATTTGAGTTCCACTTTTCGAAGTAATACATGTAAAACTCATTCTTCCAGGTATTTTACATTAATATAAAAGAATGCAAACCTCCTATATTGCTGGCGAAAATTTGATAATACGAGTCAATAACTAAAGCTAATTAGACATAAGCTCGTGATTGAATTGAGTGTAACTTTAGTCATGTGGCTTGTGTGGATTAAGGTCACGGGTCTGCCTTTTTTTCTACTAGTGCCTCGTAGAACATCACACAAGTCGGCGCGTTGAACTGTATAACTCCTTTTCTTTAATGCAATATGGATTTTTTTGAAAAAAAACGTCGGTCAATGGACATGAGAGAATGTCTTAAGTCATTATAAAGAAAAAGATAAAACTAAACTTGGCTGCTCTACAACTAAAGATGAAGTGATTAAAAATTAGTTAAATAACCTTAAAATCAAGAAAAAATGCTCTTCAATCACTTTTGGGAGAAAAAATGAGAAATAAAGAGTTAATAGTTGTTGACAAATTTCACAGCTTACTCTCAAGCAAGCACTCGATTCGATCAATAAAGATCTCAAACGAATTTCAAAATATGGCTCTGATGCAAAATGTAGAGAAAAAGCAGAGTCTATAATCGTCAACTGGAAGGTATGTTTACGAAAAAAAAAACAGTGAAAAGGGAGAAGGTTAGAGTATGGTCAAGCCGTACACTCTTGGTCGATCGGTGATGAACTCTTGGTTCGTACCTACTCTAACTTTGGCAGAAGCTGAACAACTCTTGGTTGTTTGGTTATGAACTCCTGGTTCCTGCAAAGCCGTACACTCTTGGTCGATCGGTGATGAACTCTTGGTTCGACATTCTCCCTCAAATTCTTCAAATGGTTCTGACACAGTGCATCTAATTTTTAATCTATTGCCTAGGAATAACCATATAATATATTTTACATGTTCAGTCTGTCTTGTTTTGTTGAATTTCCTTTACATAATGTGTTAAAAAAATACATAGGACTCCTATATTATAAACTCATGCGATCTTTACTCAGATTTTTCTTTTATTCCTAGGTTCCTGAGATGCTTCTGATAATTTTCGCTTAAGTTTTTCTTTCAATTCTTCCTGGTAAATTTTACAGGTGATTTTTTCATTTAAATAATTTTGCAAGTCTTGGTTTCTCTTAGTTAAAAATATAAGGTGCAATTTCGTTATTCTATCACTATTTGTCTTCAAAATACTTCTTACCAATTCTTATAAAATGTATTGATAATGAGACTTAATCTGGATGTACGGGCATGTGACTCTATCCACTCGAAAGACATTGTTGCAAAAGTTGTCTCACAATATTTAAACAAGGCAGCGATATGATATGTATAATAAGCATTTAACTGTTTATTATATTATTGTAATAATAGTAGAAATAATAAATTGCCCTTTTATAATAATAATAAGTTAATGGTTCATATTAATATAATAATAAAACTTTAGATTTCATAATAAGCAACAAATACAAATTGACTGTTATATATACATGCCATTTGATATTTGCATAATTAAACCAGATATCATTCACAATAACCATGTCTAGTACTAGCAAAACCACTGGCGCAATAAAATTGCTTTTTAATCTTCTATCTCTTTTTCAAGATAAATAGACAGCTTCCTTCGTGCTTTTGTATGACCCTGTTCAGCAGCTCTTTGGTAGAATTCAATTGCTTTTTGAATATCTGGTTTTATTCCTGTTCCATTTTTGCAACAATTACCAAGACTGTACTGTGCACGAACATGACCTTGTTCTGCTGCCTTTTGGTATAATTCAACCGCCTTCTGAGTATCCTTTTCAACCCCAGTCCCAGTCATGTAGCACCAGCCAAAATTATATTGTGCACTAGAATGTCCTTGTTCAGCTGCCTTTTGATATAGTTCAACAGCCCTTTGTTCATCTTTTTCTATTCCTGTTCCATCAGCATAGCATGTTGCAAGATTGTATGTTGCCTTAATATGTCCTTGTTTATCAGCCTGCTGATACAACTGAATTGCATATTTATAATCCTGTTTAACTCCAATGCCATTATTGTAACATACACCAAGATTGTATAATGCATCAGCATGCCCTTCTTTAGCTGCTCTTTGATACAGTTCAACTGCTTTCTGATCATTTTTTTCAACTCCCATCCCTCTTTCATAGCATATTCCAAGATTGTTTAATGCAGTAGTATGTCCTTGTTTTGCTGCTTTTTGATACAACTCAACAGCATTTTGATAATTTCTTTCTACTTCAATGCCATTTTCATAGCACAAACCAAGATTGTGTTGTGCACTAGCCAATCCTTGTGAAGCAGCCTGTTTATATAATTCAATGGCCTTTTGACTATTTTTCTCTACACCAGTTCCATTTCGATAACACACACCAAGATTGTATTGTGCACTAGCAAGTCCATGTTCAGCAGCCTTCTGGTACAATTGAACTGCCTTATAATCATCCTTTTCTACACCAATTCCATTCTCATAACAAACACCAAGAACATGTTGGGCATCAATATCACCCTGTTCAGCTGCCTTCTGATACAGTTCAACTGCTTTCTGATTATCTTTCTCTACACCAGTACCATTGTAATAAAATACACCAAGATTAAACAATGAACTGGCATGTCCCTGATCAGCAGCCATTTGATACAATTCAGCTGCTTTGTAGTAATCTCTTTTTACTCCAACTCCATATTTGTAACAATTGCCAAGATTGTATAGTGCCTTAACATGCCCCATATTAGCTGCTTTTTGATATAATTCAACTGCTTTTTTGTTGTCCTTTTTCACACTACTTCCATTTTCATAGCACACACCCAAATTAAAAAGTGCATTAGCATGTCCTTTTTCTGCTGCTTTTTGATATAATTCCACTGTTCTTTGATAATCTTTTTCTACTCCTACTCCATTTTCATAACATACACCAAGATTATACTGTGCATTAATGTGTCCTTGTTCAGCAGCTTTTTGATATAACTCAAAAGCCTTTTGATCATCTTTTTCTATTCCAATTCCATAACTGTAGAGAACACCAAGATTATACTGTGCATTAGCATAGCCTTTTTCAGCTGCTTCTTGATATAATTTGACAGCCTTTTGATCATCTTTTTCTATTCCAATTCCATAATTGTAGCATACACCAAGATTATATTGTGCACTGGCATCTCCTTGGTTAGCAGCTTTTTTATATAATTCAACAGCAGTTTCCTCATCTTTTTCCACTCCAGTTCCATTTAAGTAACATACACCAAGGTTATATTGTGCACTAGCATCTCCTTGGTCAGCAGCTTTTTTATATAATTCAACAGCCCTTTGATAATTTTTTTCCACTCCAATTCCATGTTCATAACAAATGCCCAGATTATTTTGTGCACTAACATAACCCTGTTCTGCAGCTTTTTGATACAGTTCAACTGCTTTCTGCTCATTCTTTTCTATGCCAATTCCATCATTATAACACAAACCAAGATTGTATTGTGCATCAGGATATCCTTGTTCAGCTGCTTTTTTAAATAGTTCAACTGCTTTTTGATCATCTCTTTCTGTACCAATTCCATTTCTATAACATCTACCAAGACTATATTGTGCATTGGCATCACCTTGTTCAGCAGCTTTTAGATAGAATTCAATTGCTTTTTGGTCATCCTTTTCTGTACCTGCTCCATTTTCATAACACACACCAAGATTATATTGTGCATTAGCATACCCTTGTTCAGCAGCTTTTTTATATAACTCAAATGCCTTCTGATGATTTTTATCTACTCCAACACCATTATCATAACATACACCAAGATTATATTGTGCATTGTCATCTCCTTGTGCAGCAGCTTTTTGATATAGTTCAACAGCCCTATGAAAATCCTTTTCCACACCAATCCCATTTTCATAGCAGACTCCAAGGTTATATTGTGCAGAGGAAAGCCCTTGTTCAGCTGCTTGTTCATACAACTTGATTGCCTTTTGATAATCTTTCCCCACTCCTATTCCCTTTTCATAGCATACACCAAGGCGGTACTGTGCACAAGCAAGCCCTTGTATAGCAGATTTTTGATACAATTCAATAGCTTTCTGAGTATCACATTCTACACCAGTCCCATTTTCATAACAAATACCAAGAATATATTGTGCTTCAACATCCCCCTGTTCAGCAGCTTTCTGGTACAATTTGACTGCTTTTTGATTATTTTTTTCAACTCCAGTTCCATTTGTGTAACATATGCCCAGATTATATTGTGCACTAGCATGCCCTTGATCAGCTGCTTGCTGGTATAATTCAACTGCTTTTTGTTCATTTGATTCTGTACCAATTCCATACTCATAGCATATTCCAAGATTATATTGTGCATAGATATGTCCTTGTTTAGCAGCTTCTTGATACAATTGGAATGCTTTCTGGTTATCCTTCTCTACACCAATTCCATTATCATAACATACACCAAGACCATATTGTGCCCTAGCATGACCTTGCATGGCAGCTTTCTCATACAGTTCAACTGTCTTTTTGCTGTCTTTTTCTACACCAATTCCATTTTTGTAACATAAACCAAGGCTATACATTGCACTGGCATACCCCTGGTCAGCTGCCTTTTGATATAACTCAACAGCCCTTAGGTAATTCTTTTCCACTTCAATTCCATTCTCATAATATACACCAAGTTTATATAGTGCATCCACATCCCCTTGTTCTGCAGCCTTTTGATATAATTCAATAGCTTTTTGATCATTGTTTTCTGCTTCACTATTATTTTCACAATGTGAACCAAGTATAAATTGTGCATTGGCATCCCTTTGTTCAGTCTCTGCCTTGTTTCCATTTTCATAACATGTATATTGTAAGTTCATATCTTGGTCACTAGAAGTTTGATCATTGCTTTTTTCTTCTGTATTACCTTTAGAATCACTAGTAGCTGTATCTTGATTGTCTTCCTCAACTTGAGTCACTTGTTTAATAAAATCATATGATACATTGGTGCCATGTTCAGTACTAGTATTTTGAGACAACTTGTTGATCTTTTGACAATCTTCTTCCATATTAATGAAATAACCTTCAATAACATCTTGTTGAATGTGTGTATCACTAACCTCCTCTATCTGGGTAAAATTATTATTATGTTGCATTTTTTCAGTCTTTTGATCAGCTTCTTGATTGTTAGTTTCCATTCTATTGTTATTCATATAACAATCATCAAGATCATATTGTGTTTCAACATAATCTTGTTTGACTACTTTTTGATATAATTTGTTATTGTATGCATTTTGATAGTCTTTTTCTACAGAAGTACCATTCCAATGACATATATTCATATTATAATTATATTGTACAGTATCTTGTTTATCAGTCCCATCACTCTTTATCTCACTTTGATGATCATGGCATGTATGTTGTATAGTGACACTTTCCTGTTTATGTTCAGCTGCTTCTTGGGGATATATATTGATTTCCTCATCACTATTTCCAATGCAATTTTTGTAAGATAGCTCTGCATTAGTTTTTGCATTAGTAGCTTTCTGTTCAATATCAATTAAGTCTTGATATAATTCAACTGTCTCTTGCTCCTCTCTCCCAAATTCATTTGTATATAAGGCATCAAGACTTCCTCGTTCACAAGTATTGGTATTACCTTCATCAACTGTTTCTTGTTGCAAGTCAGCTGTTCCATGGTTCTTCTTTTCTATTTTAGTTCTATCATTATTATTATAGAATACATCAAGAGTATTTTGCCAATCAGCATGTTCTTGCACAACTGTTTTTTGAACATTTTCGTAATGCACAGCAAGGATATGTTTTGAGCTGTCAAGTTCCTGCTCAACAATTTCTTGATTTGTTTCAAAAGTCTCTTCCCATTCAATTCCAGTTTCATCATATGTATAATCCTTTAGTTGTGTGCACTGTCCATCAATTTTATATGACTCAACACTTGTACTTGTGTGATTACTAATTTCTGTGTCAGTTCCATTATTGTATTTGTCAACGTTATTTTGTCCATTAACATGCTCTTGTTCAACTAACATGTGTGTACTTTGTTCTATATCGCTTTCATTCTCATAAAGCTTAAGAAGATTGCATTGTGCACCAGTGTGTCCCTGTTCAGCAGCTTTTTGATAGAATTCAATCGCCTTTTGATAATCTTTTCTCACTCCAGTACCATTCTGATAACATAAACCAAGAATATGTTGTGCATCAATATGTCCCTGTTCAGCCGCCTTTTGATATAAACTGGTGGCCATCTGCTCATCCTTTTCTACGCCAGTTCCAGTTGCATAACATAAACCGAGAGCATATTGTGCGTTAGCATCATCCTGTTCGGCTGCCCTTCGGTACAGTTCACTTGCCTTTCGATATCTCTTTTCCACACCAGTTCCAGTTGTATAGCACACGGCAAGATTATATTGTGCACTAACATGTCCCTTTTCAGCAGCTTTTCGGTATAATTTGACTGCCTTTCGAAAGCTTTTTTCCACTCCAATTCCATTTCTATAACACACGGCGAGAGCATACTGTGTACTGGCATCTCCTTGTTCAATAGCTAGATGGTACAAGTCAATTGCTTTCTGATCGTCTTTTCTTGGTCGGATCTCATTTTCGTAAGAAAAACCTAGAATCGATTGCGCAGAAGTTGAAACGAACGTTCGTTCATCCATCTTTCGAATATTTATTAAGTACGGTGGTTGGGGCGAATTTAATGATGAAATATGTAGCAACGTAACGTCACACGAATTTGATGTTTGTTACACTTTGCAAACAGATTAAGATGTTTAGTAAGATCCCTGACGATCAAATTAGGAATTGAATAAACAGTCTAACGTTGATATAAAAATATGAATTTATCCCGCATGAGTTCCCGATTAGGAAGTATACGAGTAATACCAGCATTGATATTAATAAATCGAGCATTATGCATGAGTATTACCGCTCGCTATCTGCCACGTGTACGAAGAGAAATTACAGTGGTTATCTACCAATGTTCATTAGCGGGTAAAAGGAGATGCTCCTCCGTACACAACATACATTGGGCTTCCACGTGATTGTCAAGCTGTGACTCTGACAACTTACATTTGGCAAAATGTGTTTATTGATCATAGAACATTCTCCCTCTAAAATGCACACATTCTAATATCTTCGTAAAATTATTACCTCCGAAAGTAAGCGTTCCTATAATCATTCTATACGTTCATATTACGCCTGTGACGAAGTTATAACCTTCGAAAATAGGCTTCCCGTATACTTAAAGGGAGTAATGCTTATTTTCCGGAACTATTGGCAATATTACCTTTATATCTCATAGTAATTATCAACTACTATTAGATTAAAGAGTCCTTAATGAAAATATTTCGTACCGTAATATTCCCGTCTGACTATGCTCTTTTATTATATTTATTCAGTAGAGCATTCGTACGATTGATTGTAACAAATTGATAACATTGTTACTGTATCTGCGAGATTACGAAGTTTCATATTGCATGGCTAATCCATTACCAATTGTGTCCGTTACTATTAATCGTGCGTTGTTTGCTGTAAAATTTAAATACGATGTGTGGAGAGCGAAGTATCAATAACACTCTAAGTTTCCAGATACGAAAAAGTCAGCCACATTGGCCATTTCCAAATATCACGTGCAGCTAATCAAATTTAAACCGCATACTAATACGTTTCCTCCGTGGTTTCCATCCTGATGGCTTCGTTATTACTGGATCGCATTCTTAGCAATAAAGAATTTTCTCCGTTTATCACTATCGAAGATACGATACAGCAGACTGCTAATGTAATAGTAAGAGAGTTTATCAAACGAGCCGGCGCGAAAGAGTAAGTGTTGTGAACAGTGGTAATTGACTTGTAGGTGACTTATCGGAATATTAATACTTTTTTTAAGAGATAATACCATCGTCATCTTATGTACAGATTGCTCACCTAGCTGGTTTACAAGGAGTGCTAAGAGGCTCCATTCAAGCAGGTAATATTTTGTGTTTTTAGAATATTCGTTCGGATCGAGTTCGTCACAACCTAATATATCTTTACATTGTAGTTTTGTTATCATTGATGCTTACTCAAGAGTGAATTTGTATGATGATAACGATTCAAGCCCGTCGATAAATTCAGATATTAATACTATTATGGTTGACGATATTGACGATATAAATCATTTAGCGACTTTGATTCAAGATACACTTGTGAAATGTAAGAATTTGATGTTATGTAATTAGATTCCTTGTAACAATTACCGACCTCAATTGCTTTCCGACATTGAACAGTGAAAACATCCACATTCACTTTGTTTATTGATTCATTGACACCACTGCTTCAACGCTCAACGTCTGCAACATTCAATCTGCTAAAGAAAGTAAGCAATAAATTCTCAGGTAAACTTTGATATCGAGTTAAGATATCACGAGCATAGCAATACATTATTCTAACTACTGTTGATTGTTTTAGATAATGGAAGAATGGTAGTAACTTATCACTCAGACATTCCAATTCCATCATCAATATTTAATATTGGTAATACACTGTCACACATGGCCACAGCTTCCATATTGGTGAATAATACGGAAATATTTAAGAAGCGGTCAAGAGGGTTCATAGAAGTGGTTAATGAGGAAGGGTTATCAGACTATGTCAATTCATTGGACAATGGTGTCTGCATCATTCGGTTAAAGAAAAAATCAGGAAGAATACAACATGAGGTGAGTCATGAACACAATTATCTAGTAGATGTATTACCCCAGATGGTCATTAATAGTTGACAACTCACCATTTATGAGACAAATACATACCAATTGGATGAGTTGACTGGGACGTTCAACATATCCTTAGTTCATGATTTGAAAGTACAGGATGAATCAACTGAGGTATTTAATCAAAGTATCGCGACATTATTCATACTAAATACATAATATGCATTCACTGTGATCAAAACTCACCGTACCGTCTTTAATTTCAATTATTTTCGACACAATTAGCCTGACCCAACTACAGCCAATCTATTATTTAATTTGAGAATAACTGAAGAGCAGAAGAAGGCAAGAGATGAAGTGGTGTTACCATATGTTAAAATACATGAAAAGTCTGAGCCAATTGCAGAAAGCGGTGGAAGAATATTCTATGATCCGGATGATGCAGATGATTTTGATGACGAAGATCCAGATGATGATTTAGACATATAAGAAACGCGAATATCATTTGGCCATTATAAAGCATAAATCCATGTCACTGCATTTACTGTATACAAATTCCAAGCAAATTTACTTTCGTCACACACTCAGCTGTTTACTACTGCTTCGACGGTCTTCCCACTCTCCTGGTCTTTCAGGCCAATTGTACACTTCCTCTCCGCATCTATCTCGATACTAAATTCTACAGATTTCATTCCATTTTTTCCAGCCTGTATCTCATACAACGCAATCTCAGCTATCAGTTTTTCGGCTGTCGCAACAGGACTCGTTGAAACATCACTATCTTCTGTGTTGTCATTGTCCTCATCTTCACCAGTTTGACTTTTATTATTCGTACTCCTCTCACTTTCGACTAGCCTCAATTCTCCTTCCCATACGCTAATATAACAATCATGCTGATCATCATTTATTGAGAATTCTACAACTCTCCTCACTGGCAATGGTGTATTATTTGGTACAACCACGACAAAATTTCCGTTTGCGTTTATTATTCCGACGGGCTTGGTCAGATGAGGAGTTACCGTAATATCCTTTCCTATTCGTTCAGCGATGTCTGTATTTGTCATATTAATTAAAAGTGAAGCCTGATAAGCACAGCCATATGAGATAACTTCATCTGGTTCGAGCTCTTGACGGATAACTGTGGACGGATGTGAAAATATATCACGTATGCGTGCTTGTAATTTGGGTATGCGTATTGCTCCGCCAATAAAGATCACCTTTTAAGAATATAAATGTATAACGTGAGAAATGTCCATGATAATTCCTCTAAGCTAAAGCTCACAAGACTCACCTCTTCAACTGAAACAGGCTCGATCCCAACGTTGCTGATTGCCTCTTTGACGAACTCGACGCACTTGTCGAATAGCTTCCTACTCATGATCTCGAACCTAGTTCTGTTAATGTTTCCGTTGAAATCGATTCCTTCCGCTAAGGACTCTACGGAACACAATGCTGTTGTGGAACTACTTAACGTCTTCTTTGTACTTTCTACAGCGCTTTTTAACTTCGTCAACGCTCTTTTATTAGACGATATATCGATTCCAGTCTTACGCTTAAACTCGGATGAGAAATGTGCGACTAATAAATCATCGAAGGCATTACCACCAACTTGTGACGAGTGGGCGGTGCCGAGAATCGTGTACATTCCACTACGAACTGACATTACGGTAACGTCTATTGACTCTGATCCAAGATCAACAATTACAGCCAGCACATCTTTGGATTCATCTCGGTAGTATGCAACAGCAGCGGCAGTGGGCTCGTGAATTAATTGTAATACTCTTAATCCTGCCGCTTCAGCGGCTTGTCGGAGTGCTTCGCGCTGAGACTGAGTAAAGTATAAGGGAATGGCTAATACAGCTCCGTCCACTGCTTGCCCAAGGAAATCTTCGGCACTTTCGCGCAGTCGGGAAATATATTTGGTGGCTATTTCAGACACTGTGTAAGACTTCTCTTGTAAATTGTGCGTTATTATATATCCGGGAACGGAATCAAGATTTGATATGGGACACGTAGGAAGAGATGTTTCTGAAAGAATATTGTCAAGGCTTGAGGTAACATGAGATGGATTGAGGTATTAGAGAAGAGAATGTAGGAGAAGTCTAGAACGCAGAAAATCAGAAATGGCATGCAATCATACGATCACTATATAATTATTGAGTTGAACGTCCATTTAAGCACCTTAAACCGATCAAATTCCTGAACTTTGCGATTGTATTCTTTGGATTTCCTAATGCTTGAAGTTTCGCCTGAGTTCCTGTAAACTGCAATCAATGCCGGTTAAATCATTATGATTCGCAATATTTCTACTGCTATAATTAATATCTTCACCTCTTCATCTCCCATAAAAGCAATCATAGTTGGGATTTGCCTCTCTCCATCTTCGTTAGCAATACAGTCCGTTCGTCCATCCTGATAAAAATTTGATTAATTGATTCGTCGGTACATGATTAACTTAATTGTCTACTTTACGGAAAGGAGAGAGCGCGTTATTGAAATCAATAATATCTTACTTTGGCTGTGATTGCGATACTCGAGTATGTTTGTCCAATTCTTAGACCAATTGCTACTTTTGCCGAAGGCGCCATAATTTGAATCTGGTTGAAGAAATGATTGTGGAATTTTTTAACAGAAAATTTTCTGGTACGACGGCTGATTGGGTATATGTCACATCATGTGAATGTGAATAATAATCGTGAGAATGCGGCTGTCAGAATATTTGACTTGGGTTTCTCAAGTTCACGGTCCCACGAAAGCTTTTCAGCCTTTCGATTATTCACTCGTTTCAACGCATCTACAATAGGTGGCTTAACCAGGACCTCTTACGCTCTATGAACAATTCTCAAAGTCCCACGCTCTGTAGGTGTGGCATTGCAGCGGCCTTCCGTCAAGTACGGAAAACAGGACCTAATGAGGGGAGATTTTTCTGGAATTGTTCCAGAGTAAATGCAACGAGATGTGATTTTTTCAAGTGGGCTGTGGAAGATAGTGCCCTTTCAACTAGTGATGATTATAAGAGTGATGATGAGAATGAGGAACGCAGATCATTATTGGGTAAGAGAAGAAAAGAAGAAGCATTTTGGATGAATAAGGAAGAGGAAATACGATCTAAACGACAAAGAAAAGGATATGATAGTCAAGTAAGTTATCTGTAGTGTATCAAAATCGTGTAACGTAATCTTTCTAACCTTTCCGTCCTTGCAAGCCCGACAAGATTATCACTACACCAGGATCCAATGCTGCCTCGACTCACGAATCAGATACCATCCATGCCACTAAATACATGTTGACTCCTTCGACACCGACGTCTTTTGTTATTTCTTCTCCGATTTCACCAACACCAATTTCAATCCCACTTTACGCTCAATCAGTTCAGGAGTCTTTTGTTGACAAAGCAGGTGAAGAAATAATTTCGATGCTTCGAAATTATCTGGCCAAACAAGAACGTGTAGCGAATGGGTATAAACTGGCCAGAGATGAATCAAGAGAAAAGCTTAAAAATGTAAAACGGGAAATGGATTTATTGATGAATCAAGTGAAATCACTAGAAAAAGAGTGTGAATTATGTAGGCGCGAGTCGGAGGTTTTGAAGGCCGAAAATGTCTTACTTCAGAAACAATTGGTTGACGTAAAGAAAGTATAAAAAATTGAGTGGTGCAACAGGTTGATTTAGAATGTCTCTACTTTTAGGGTAAAGTGAAAGACTAGTTATTTAGGAAATGAGGAGGACACTAATAATTTTTCTTATGGACTCTATTATATTATTACTATATCTGTTAATTTATTACATTCTTTTATACGTAGTATATATTATATTCGAATGTCTAATATTAACTTGGGGGAAGGTCAAGTAACATGCTTATATATTAATATTAAAGGTACACAGATTACAACCAAATCCTTGTTCCAGTTACACAAAATGTATAGCAGACGTTGGCAAGGATAAAAGTCAATGAATTACGATTTTAATAATATGAAAAAAAAACATGTAGGTGATCGCCATGTATCTCTGACATCCAAATAATAGCATCACCAATCTTTGCATTTAATCAAAGTGTATTAAATTAGCGGCTGATTCCAAATCACCATTTGTAGCTTCCAAAAGTTGAATAGCATATTCTCTGTCTATGCCAAATTGTACTAGACGTTTGATCTTTTCCTCCAATTGCGTGTCTAAATAAAACGAAACGTAATTTAACACAGAATGACATATCAAACGCAACTGACAGATGTGTGTAATTCCAAACCTGAAGAAGGCGAAGAGGAAGAATCGGATGAAGACACGGCAGTTGCAGCAGCAGGATTTGTCGATGAACTCGCTGTGCCCTCAGCGCTCGCTGATGTCGTCCCTGGAGTCACTAGATCTTCATCCACAAATTCACCGTTTCGTGCGCTTTCTGGTAGTTCGTGTTCATTGAGAAATGGAATCTCTTGGCCTTGAATTATTAAACAGTTCTTTTGCAGATCTATGCAGGCCTACAAAGCAAAGAATAAAAGTTACTATGGAATAGCAGGTGTCAAGTTGTTTACAGTGATAGAACAAACCTGGTGTCTTTTTAACATGTCCAGTCCAAATAGTAAATCAACTCCACGATTCTAGAAAATAAACGACCAAGATTAATAAAGGGACTGTTCAGCCCATATGCTCTAAGCTACAATTTCTGGTACTTTACCTCCATTACTACGAACGAACAAGCCAGATGAAGATCCTTTCCAACGCGAATAGGAGAGCTATGAACACGACCCAAGATCTTTGCAGTTCCAACCCCTCTCGCAATACCTTCAAATCGCCTATCGACCAACCACATAAGTCTGTTTAAAACAAAATAATGTTCAGTATCGTTTCATTCTTTCCTTCACATCCCAATACATTTAAACTGGATATAGTGTTCTTTACTTTACCCGCACGCTTCGGCACAACTGGGGCTCACTTTATGTAACCAATAAACAAACCAAATTAATACAATAATGCAATAATCATTGACCGACTGACATATAACGATGACATACTAATTGTCGCTTGAGCGCCAGAATCAACAAACGCCTTGACCGGGTGACGGTTTACTTCGACATCTATGTATAGCATTGTTACCTACAAATATTTCGAGAATTTCGGTGTTATGCGTGCTGATAATTTAAATAAATTTTAATTATCGTCAACATACCCGACCAAACACCTCAGGATTGAACTCCAAGGCGGTTTGATAATTTTCATTGATGTTTTGCTGTCGTATTGCTTCTTCGATTTTGCGTTGACTTTCAATGTCTAATCCATCAGGGTTAAGGCCTGTCTACAATAAGGTGATAAACCTCAATGAGCTTTACTATCTGAAAACGAATGCATTCGAGCAACCGAAAATCGACATACAGAATAACTAGGCTCCTGTCGGGGAAGATCTCTGATTTGGTTATATATCTGGGCAAATTGTTGTGGATTATTCAAAGTAGAATTAAGGGCTGCTGCTAATGGGGGATTTGTCTACACAGATAAGACATGTTAGATTTGAACTACTATGATGAGAAAATCATTGAGCAGAGCGCAAAGCACGGTCAGTGAAACTTACGCGCTCCAATTGTCTTATTATACCAGGGTCAGAAATCAGATATCGGCGCATTTGTTCCACGACCGACATATCACTAGATTCATTTGACGTGTTAGTCTATTCCAATACATTTACGTTGATTTCAAGTTCAGAGAAAAAAACTGTGGTTACGTTGAAGAGTTCGTTTTTCTATGAAGCACTACTATATCGTCTTCGATAATACCACATTGTGCTAAAGTTTTTTTAGGATCCTTAAGCTCTTTTCCATCGTGATAAAGAGTTTGATCACTAATGGCGACATTTGTCTGGAAAGGATAGGTGTCAATATTATTCATCGCAGTAATCAACACCGAAACTTTTAATAATTCTTATTCCGGGCAGTCTACCTCCACTTCAACTAAAGCTTTAAAATTCTCCAACTCCATTTGCGAATCCACTTCAACGTTATGCAATTCTCCCGTTTGAGTCGAAATAGTGAGTCTCATTTTCGCTGACCTGATAAACTGATCAAGAAAGAACAGAGGCAAAGAGTAAGGAGCCTTATTGGCGAAACCCCCCGCAGGAATATCTGCCCTCAACACTACTATGGCATGACCAAAGTGAACGCCGGTGGTACAAGAATTTTAGGATAAATAGAGAACATTAAAAATCAACATATCGGGCAAAATCACCAGAATTATTATTCATAACTAACTTTCGCGCTTTTTTGATTGGTACACCCGTGTTGTAGGTATTTTTAATATTAAGCCCTTTACTAACCATATAAAAGCAGTGCAGAGCATGATGCTAGACGTCGTTACATACGTGCTAACTATAGTAAAAAATATTGTTGACACTAACTATTACGTTGTGATTGATTTAACAATATTGATGATGGAATCTAACTAATTGTATATTAATATGGTTTAAGACTACGATTTTACTAGATGTGAAGAATCCTTCGGGCTTTTTACATTAAAGCAGTAGCAAAGGATCGCTACTGTCGTCATCGATATAGCAGATAGCAATTTGCCCAGCCAACAATTGAGGTGAGGCATTAACTACTTTATTGTTGTCCAACTGGAAGTTGAAATACTCAATGATACAGTGCGTGTAATAAGAATGGACGGTTACAAATTTAGTCCTATTTATATTGAAATGTATTATTGTTTAGCAATATGCCAAAAGATATATATACATGATGAAGTTGAAGTCTGATTGGGATGACATTCAAAACAAAAAGGAAATTACTACTTTCAAGCTTTTAACATTCTTGTGTAAATACACGGTGACTGGTTATTTACTTTTTGGTCACTTAAGTGCGCCAGTCATAATAATAGTAATAATACAGACTGCGGCGTTATATAATGTGAAAAAAATTGTTATCTGTGTTATTATATATTATTATATTATTTATTTATTAACGTGTTTACCAATAATTTGTGCTAAGGTTGTCAGAATTTATTATCTCAGACTAATAACTGACAAATTAAAACGAACTCGGATTTTTGTTCTATTTCAATATGAACGTATGGTAAACGCGCGTTATTTTAACCTATACGGCGTCTTTTTTCCGGTTGCGAGAGAGGACGGGACTGATAATCCACTGTCTCCAGCCCGATCGCGTGATAGGGCAAAAATTGCATTTCCTCGGCAAGTCCTTTGTATCTATTAAATGCAGGAAGTTTTGCAAAAGATCTTCAGAAGAACGGTGGGGCATATTAGCAGGCAAGGGTAGCAGAGGAGTTTATTTTATCCAAGATCTTCTCGACGTCCGCATCATTGAAATGAAGCCTCTTTTTTAAAGTCTCTCGGGTAGCAAAATTCAAGTTAAAATCCTTTGTCATCGAAAGGGCGGCATGAGAACTGAATGTGTCGCCAAAAAATTTGCTGAAATTTCCCTGGTATATCAAAAGACAATCTTCAGGAAAAAAAAACTAGGATTACTGAATTGCCAATATGCTTGCTCTGTAACATTTGCTGTGGTGATAAGCACAGTAATGGTGCGTGCATTATTATTATTAATTCTTTGATTATCCAATGTTGATCCTTGTTGTATGTTTCGAATAGTTTCTGTGTTCATTGTGTGCTCTTTAGTAAGCAGGTCGATTGGGACTGGTTTCTTCCACTTTTTCGCTTGCAGTGCACAGACGATGTTCTCAATATTGTCAGCACCTTCACGATAAACGCACACGTCTCCAAATGACGCGCCATCCTTATTCATGATTACAATATCCGACCGCCAGTCCATTTGCTCATCACAAATCGTCAATTCTTCAAAGTGAGTTTTGGAAAATGATCTTGGGATGGAACATATGTCCGCGGTAAAGGTTTCTCAAGAATGCATAGTCGAACAAGTGCGCGAACAAGTTGTTGATGCTCTCTAGCGAAAGCAGTGATAGAGTAACGGCCGTCGAGAACTTTTGCTACTCTGTAAAGATTCTATCGATATTCTTGTTGATATTCTCCACGTCATCAAAAAAAGTGTTAGCTTTCTCCAATTGACGGCCGAAGAACTCTTCCAATAAAAATTGCACTGCGCGTGGGAGGCCGCCTGTGTCGGATAGCAAATGAAATATCGGCATCTTTGGCATCCACTTGCGGTAGGGGACTTGGAATCGCTTAGCGAAATGGCCCATAATGTTGTAGCGTGCTCCCAAAGATAATACTGGACAACTGAGAAAGTGGAAAGAATAAAAGGTAGGTTTCGCGGACCGAGTCACATCCTGCCGAGCCGTTCCAGAGAGAAAAGTCTGTATGATCTGGTATGATAAAGGGAGCATTAAAATTAACAAGGCAAAACATCATCAGTCACCCCAATCAATTTTGCAGTCACATCACAATCAGTCCCTCATTTATAGAATGTTCACTTTGTCTGGTTTTGTTGCAGTCTGCTCCATATAATGTTATCGTTATTGTTATAGTTTGCTGACATGTTAAATCGCTAGGGTTTCAACTGCCATTATATATATAGGAAGTATGACATTCAAAAAAAAAGATACAAATACAATAGACGAAGCAAAAGGATACTCCAACCTTAAACCAGAAGAAAGGCTATTACTATCTTTGATAGTAATCTTTTAAAACCAAATGGTACTTTGGATAAAACACTCCTTCAGATACTGCTCAGTTCTTAAACAAGTTGTAAAAAAGCAGAGGCTAATTTACAAACTGAGCAAAGTAATAGTAATAATGGTAATCAATTGTTAATTGCTTTAATGGAGCAAAGAAGAAATAATTCTATTGCTTATCAATTAATTAACACCATTATAATTAAAAACGGAGAAGATTGAGTGGGTGAGATGGTAAAAAATTACCAGGTTTTGTTTAGAAAAAACAATAAAAGTTTAGATTAAAATTGAAAGAATCAACACTTGCTTTTGCTAAGATATCAGAAGAAGAAGAAAAAGTTGTAAAAGAAATTACTGAGCTAGTATTAGAGGAAAAAGTATAATCCTCAAGTTTTTTCAAGAACAAACTGGTTTAGAAAACAAGGTTGCTATTGCTGTTGAAAAACTAAAGAATTAATAATAATAATGCACGCACCATTACTGTGCTTATCACCACAGCAAATGTTACAGAGCAAGCATATTGG